TAAAATGGCCCGTCCAGATTATCTGGGAGTTGTTGGCAAGACTTACTATCCAATAACGTACTTGTTCAAAGTAACTCTAACATCTTACTTCTAAATTAATGAAAACTATTTACCACTGTTTAAAAAAAATATATATATAAAAATTGATTTTTCACCAACCTGCTTGAGTTTGAAGACTTCAATATTCCTCACATGGTAAGCGCTTCGAATTGTTTGCTGGTTGTACGGTGGACATTCAAAGTGGCCTGAAACATTGAGGGGGGGGAAAAAGAGTAGTTGCCTGAATCAACAATTCCCTCCTAACACTGTTTGCAAGCTAGCTTCTTGAGGTCATATAGAGACCAATCCCAAATACAAGGCTGCCAGTAATCAGAGGAGACACTGTATTTCCTTTACACGAGGCCTACACCAGCAGGCTGCTAACTTTTTATGTGCGAGGCAAATAAGTTGTAAGAATCTATCTACAACAATGAGCGTTTCTTCCATTCTGTGTCTTATTTTCATAAATATAGGAAATACAGTAATTCAGTTGTGGAAACAAAAGACAGGAGTTTGACTCCAATACTTAAAACCCAGGACCTGCCTGAAACAAGTAACTTTTGGAACAAAGATTTATGTGCTTAACTCCCAAATGAGGTTTTGTCCCTCTCTGGTGAGATGACACCCCTCATTACTTTCCCGCACCCCTCACCTCCGCAGTTACACTGCACAGCCACACGCAATCACATAGAGCGCGCACTGGTCGCTGCACCACCATAACACATATGTATCTGCTATTATCATGGCTACACATGCAAACATGCTGGCACAGCCAAAGAACATAAGGTAGACAGGAACAAGCAAAAGTAGGCCATCAACATCGTGAGAGCAGAGAGCAAGCCTCTGACTGGCCACTGATCAGAACATAAGTTCAGACCTAACAGGTCAGAGGTATAAACCAAAAGAACACAAGGCGTTGAACCAGATCTGCCTCTTGACTCGGGCCACTGAGGCTGTGATTTTTGTGTTTCATCAAGAGTGCTGCCACCAACCGTGAAAATACAGCTTAAGAGACTCAGCAGCAGCTTAAACATGCCTGTAACTGCCCACAGGCACCACAGCCTCTGGAAGCGCAAAAGGGATGCAGTCTCCAACTTCACCTGCTGAATGCCTAGCAGAGCTCCTACATACTCTTAAGAATGAAAAGAAAAATTCCTTTTTCAGTTGTAAGCATTACTGTCAAAAAAGTCCCATCTCCCACATACAATACTCAGGCATGCAAACCGTATGCTCAATAACAACAAATTTAGGTCTTGAATACAAATATGCGTAACCAGGAGGAACTGATCTCGAGATGTACTGACACCAAGACTGAGGTCAGGGCTGTACATTTGTACAATATCACACTTATACATCGACTGTTTCACACAAGGAAAACTAAATAGTCTTGCATTGCCATGCTGAAAGGGCACTGCCATGGAAAAGTCAAGACTGTTCCAATAAAAACATTCAAAAGTCACGTTGCTCCCGGCTGAGGTTGCCAGGCAGCTACTGAATCATCTACTGCCTCAAGAAAAACCTGCATGTTGAGCCAAGAGAGGTTTCCAGCATAAGAGTCAGTTCAGAGAAGAGAAGGAACAGCCAGACACTCCTCGGGCTCAGCACCACCCTCCCTACTGCCCACCCAGCCAGTTCTGCTCTGTCCTGCCATACCTTTCCGGTAGTCGTGAGACTTGAAGATGCCCGAGATGCCGCCAATCCTCACGCCACGGAACCGCACCACACCCGCATAACCTAGGGGAGATGGGAGCGCTGCTCGTCACGGCGGGGCCAGGGCAGGCCAAGGGGTTGGAGGGGAAAACGCCGCCGGGGCAGGGTGAGTGGGGGGAAACCCTACCGAGGTAGTAGATGTTGGGTGCCACCCCCCCGCCGTAGGGCAGCTCCTGCCGGGGGGTGGGCGCG